TTTGCTCCTTGTTCCAAAACTTAAACCCTTAAGGCATCCTAGGGTTGAAGCTTGGTGGAGATTAAAGGAGAAGAATTTGTGTCATCTCCAGACTGCAAAGAGTTGTCCATAGGTGGGGAGAAAAAGAGGGAAATGGGAAGTCGTGAAGTCTAGGAACAGAAAGAAGTGTGCCTGGGTTGGCAATTCAGTCACTATAAAGAGAAGAAAACTCCGGAGAGAAAATGGCTGTGTCTAGGCAGATAGGATCAAGTACAGCCTGGCAAAGACTCCTACATCCCAGGCAGGACAGGAATGCCTCATAAAGCTGGAGGACCCTAAGGGCACACACAGAGAAGGAGGGACAGCATGTCTTAGCAATAACCAGTGTGGACTGGGGCCAGAGGATCTTCCCATCTGCTCCCAACTTCTACCACTTGGGTGGCTCCTGGAGCCCCAGAAAAGTGTGAGGCTGTTTTTCTGCCAGCTGGGTGGGAAAAAAATTTAGGGTCAGAAAGCAAAGGTGAGTTTTAGAGAATAAGGTTATGTTTTTCATAGGCCTGAGTTTGTGCCTGTATTTCAAGACAGAGATGTTGGCAAGAGGCCTGAGAGTAAAGGATGCAGTGGTCCCAGGCTGCAGAAGGTTGGGGTCTGAGTGTGGAGGGCCTGTGTTACGCCTTCTAGATTGGCCAACGTTACATTTGGGGAGGGACAAAGTGAAGTGGTTGATGATCAACAACATACACACACTTGCCAATCTTGCCATAATTTTAAAGAATGAGTCATCTTAGAGTTGTCATACTTTCAAGTACTTTGTTAAGCACCTTCATACATGCTTATGGGTGTGATGGATCCTATGATGGCATTGCTAAGCTGCAGTGTTTACTTAATAAACACCCCGAGAGGACTTGGAACTTTTCCTATGAAGAGTGAATTTTGTTCCTCTTAATATGTGGATTTAATGCTTATGATAGTCACCACTTGGTTCTTAGTCTTTATGCCTTGCAAGTTTCAATGCACCTTCATGCAAAATAAAGAACTGAAAATATGTTTTAGCCTGACCGGTGTTGAATGCATCAAGAATTCCCAAAAGATGTATCATTCAGCCAGTCAACTTGTCCACCACTTTATCTATTTTTTTTTAATGAGTAAATTTCTTTTTAGCTGTTTTAGGTTTATAGAAAAATAAGGCAAAAAAAAAAAGAGTTCTTATATACCTCTTTATACCCCCTTCCAGTTTCTGATTTAACGTCTTGCATAAGTAGGGTACAGCTGTTAAACAACCGATGAGCCAAAATTGATGGGTTATTATTAACTGAAGTCCTTAGTTTACATCAAGATTCATGTTCTATGAATTTGGACAGATGCACTTGTCCACCATGTGACATCATACACAGAATTTGTACTGCCCTAAAAATCCTCTGGGCCACACCTACACATCGCTCCTTCCCTCCCTTGCTCCTCCAATCCTAGAACTCATGCCAACTTTCTTTCTTTTTTTTAATATAAAATATTTTATATATACCAAAAGCATTTTTCAAAGGCATTAAGGAAAAAAAGAGAAAAAGCACTTCAAAAAGAGGTAGAGAGAGATAAAAACATATAAAGTATACTACCAATCCTCAAAATTAAATCATTTATGCCAATTTTTTTATTAATCGAATGAACAACTCCAGAGAAAATGAGAACCCAATAAATACAAGCACCACTTAGTTTAAATTAAGCCCCCCTCATTATCCGTAGGCTTATGTATGTATTTCCATAGCCGTGGGAGCTGTGAGTATTATTTTGCACTTTGATCAGCATCATTTCAGGATCTGTTTCCATGTACTACAGAGTCCATGTTGCTAATCTTGCTACAATGTGTAAGGGTGAATTTTATATAGATGCCATGGTGTTTCAGGATGAATTGCCCTAGGGTTGTAAGATGTTGGTTCAAGTATCAGTTCTTCAACATAAACAGTTGACATTGGATACAATTTGACTCTTGTGAAGGAAATGAAGTTTAGCTTTTGTCCACCCCTTCACAGAGAGTCCTGTTTGGTTAAGGATTAAACTTCTAGAGAGCTCTTATTATTGGAGATTCATTTTCCCGCAGGAATAAGTGAGTGAGAGATATATCCCTGTAGTGTTAAAAATCTGTAACCATCAGACACATTTTTACTTCAGAGATGCTTTTAATGTTTGAAACTCTTTTTAAATCTTCCCCATAGGACTGTCTCCTAAATTAATAGCCCAGTATTCATTTGGTTTACTCATGGCATCTTAACACATCAACTTCTACTCTGGACTTTTTGATCTATAGTTGCATTTTTCAGCCCTAATTTTAGCAACACCATAACTTGAATAATATTTTTATAGGATTTCTTTATTCTTTCAAATTGAGTTAATAGTCAACATTAGAATAACAATGGAATGGACACTGAAATCACTCACAAAATTTCAAATGTCTTCAAATAATTGCAGTTCTCCTGACAGTGAGGATTACAGTTTTCTAGCTAAAGGGAACTTCTTAGATGCAAGGCAGTGATAACAGTTTACAAATCACTTCCTTATACAGCAAGACAATATTTTATATCACTCTACTTTAAGTGCACAAAATCCAACTTGCTTAGAATGTTTCCTCAGTAGATTGTATTCCACAGTGGAGTCCTCTGCATTGCACACACCGTAACAACCCTCATTTATTTTGTCCCCTTTAAGCTACAACTTAACTTTATATTTTAACAATAAAAATAAAATTTCTTTTGGAATATAAACTTGAAGTTTTCATTTTTTCAACATGGAAAGGTCACAACAACTAACTTAAAGAGTTGTCCTCAGGCTACTCTGGGACCAGCCTGCCTCTTGGGTCCTGCTTTTCCTCGTCTTGTGAATTTCCTTTGCGTAGACCGTTGGCCAGTCTGTGGGCCTGGTTTGCCATTTTCCAGGCAGGACTTACATCCTCCACGCTGAAGGGAGGCCCCACCAGAAGCCTTGGAACAGCCAGTTTCAGCCAGCTTCTTACACTCTTTTAGGTACATGAAGATGTCTCAGCATTGCTGCTGGCCTTAGCTGTGACCCTGCAGTCCCTAGGAATGCTGGGAACGATTTTCCTGAAGTCAGACTAGGTTACAGCAGCCACTCGTGCCTATCACTGCTATGGTATCAGTTATTTTGTTTTTACTATTGAGTCAGATGTAGGAGTTCCTTCTGTATTTTGGAGATCGTTCCCTTATTAACTATATGGTTTGCAAATACAGTCTGCCCCATTATCCCTGAGCGCCACCTTCACACACTGATTGTAAATATTTGGGAGAAAAAATTGTGACTATACTGATCCTGTGGAGACTTTCTTGTCACCATTCCCCAAACAATGCAGTATAACAATTGTTTACCAAGCATTAATATTGTCTTTGGTATTTAAGTTATCTAGAGATTATTTAAAGTGCATGGAAGGGTGTGTGTGTGATGTGTAACTGCCACACCATTTAATGTAAGGCACTTGAGCACCGTGAATATCCATGGTGGGGGGGTCCTGGACCCATCCCTAATTGACACCAAGGGACAGATATTCTTGGGTTGCTTCTCAGTTTGCTGGCTGTTTCCTTTGCTGTGCAGAAAGAAGCTTTTCAATTTAATGTAGTCCTCGTTGCTTACTTTAGTTTACGCTGCCTATGCTTTTGATGTTGTGTAGCAAAGAAATGGAGACAACCTAAATGGCCATCAACAGGTGACTGGATAGGGAAAATGCATTGTATACATACAATGAAACAACCTTCCCTGTGTAACAATGTAGATAAACACCGAGGATGTCATGGTAAGTGAAATAAAGCAGACACAGAGTGACAGAAACTGCACGATCCACTTAAGTGAGGTGTCGGACATAGTCAAACTCATAGATTAGAAAAATGGAATGATGGCTTCCGGGGGCTGGAGGAAGGGAAAATGAGGAGTTATGGTCCTAATGAGCATAGTTTCAGTCAATCAAGATGAAAAGTTCTAGACAGCCGCCACATAACACTACCTGTAATCAGCAAACTTGTATTTGGAAATACTTAAGAATTTGTTAGGGGGTAGATCTCTTGCTCAGTGGCCTTACTACAATAAAACAGAAATTTTTTAAGTATGTCAATTAGCATATGAAATGAGCAAAAGAAAATACATCCAGCTTGTATCAAACATCTGAATTGGCCAATCAAAGTTGATAAAACAAGATATTAAAATAGGAAGACCTCCCTTACTGTGGAATATTTGACAGAGTATGAAAATACAGAGACCTTGTGTGTGGCTGGAGCTATGGCTTAAGTGGTAGAGCGCCTGCCTAGCAAGTGCAAGGCCCTGAGTTCAAATGCCAGCAATGTCAAGTAAATTAATTAGCTAATTAATTTAACTAAATTAAATATCCACATGGAGACCTAGTATACTTCTTGTGTGAAGTCCTCCCAAAGATCTGTAACCTCACTCCTTGTTGCTTCTCTGATCCCTGTCCACTATTCTCCCCTTGCTCCCGAGGGAAGGGGAAAGAGAGCTCAGGGGTGTCATTAACATCAAAGAATCATATTTAAAATCCAGAAGAGATCATGCTTCTTATTAGTGACTGTGAACTGCTGAGTCCACACATCACTCAGGGAGCTTTGTTAAGGCCTGAATTATGTTTCTGCAAAACTCGTATATTGAAGCCCTAACTCCCAGAATCTCACAATGTGATCGTATTTGGAGGTGGAGCCTTTAAAAAGGTAATCCAGTTAAAATGAGGTCAGTAGGGTGCACCCTAATCCAATCAGACTGGTAGCCCTGTAAGATGAGGACACCGGCGCATGTACAGGGGGAGGACCATGAGAGGGCAGAGATGGCCAAAGATAGACTTAGGAGAAAGCCACCATAGAGACACCTTGATCTCAGGCTTCCAGCCTCCAGAAGTGAGGGATAATAAATGCCTCTGTCTCTGGAACTTCGCCAGCCCAGCCAACCAATGAGCATCTCCTGGGAGTGCCTTACGAATACTCATTCCAAAGCTCCAGCTCAGACCCCTGGAACTGAGTTTAGCAAGTCCTCCTGGCGATGATTGCACAGCTAAAGTCGGAGCACTGCTGCTCCACAGGAGGGGCCTGGGCAGCTTTTGGAACCAAGCACGCCTGGGCCTCGCCTTGAAATTCTGATTCAGATGGCCAAGGCTGCATGATTAGGGGTTGCAAAGGTGGTCCCAACTTCAGTGTTTTTATAAAGGTCCTCTGTTGATTCTAACGGGAAGGCAAGGTTGAGATGCCCTGGTGGAGAGCCTGCTGGCCTGGTCACAGGTACTTAGAGAAACTGAGGCAGATTACCACCTCCCTAGCCTAAGGAGCTTCTTCTGCAGTAGGTTTCTTGAAGAGCAAGCTGGGTCTCTTCTTAGAGATAATACAGGGCTCTTCCTCCGCCTGTGGATCACAATTCCCTCTGTGGCAGGGGAAACACTGGGGACAGAGGAGCATTTTACTAAGTAGAGTAGCTTGGCCCACCAGGCAGAGTCACAGGCTGTGGGTCTGGCGCTGCTGTCCTTCTGTCTTATATAGGACTCAATGTGCAAGACCTCTCCAGGATAGCTTAAGAGTGTAGAGTGCTATTTTTCAGAAGGGCTTAGTAGGGCTTGGAGTTTTATTGGGGGGCAGGTACTGGGGATTGAACCCAGGACTTCCCCCATGTGCTGTACCACCTGAGCTACACCCCTGGCTCCCCACCCTTTTTTTGAGGCAGGATCTCATCATATAACACAGGCTGACCTCAAACTCATGGTCCTCCTACCTCAAGCTCCCTATTGCTGGGATTACGGGCATGAACCACCATGCCTAGCTGTATTTTTGGTTCAGGGTCTTGCAATCTTTTTCCCCATGTTGGCCTTGAACTCTTGATCCTCCTCCCTCTGCCTGTTGAGTAGCTGAGATAACAGACATGAGTCACTGTGCCTGGTGTATAAGGCTTGTATTCTAAGCTTCCAGGCTCTCCATTTAGGGTTTTAAAAACAAAGCCATGCTAAGGTATAAATGTTTTTAAGATTTAATGAGGTATCTTTTCGGCATGTATTTGCATTTTAAAAGACATAAAGCCATAGCTGTTGAGAAAATAATTCGAGAGGTGGAATTTCAAGCATGAGCAAACTGGCAAGAGAGATGGGGTTTGGACAGGAAAGCAATAATCCTAATGGTGACATCGCTGAGTGTTTACCATGTACCAGGCTGTGTTCAGAGTGTTTCACCCATTGTCTCACCATCTTCACCACAGTGCTGGAGGGAAGTTCAGAGAACTTGACCCTGAGCTGTCTACACCCATGCAGTTCACTGTCTGCATGAGCATGCCTGCACAATTGCACTGCTTTAGTAATATGGCTTTAGGAAGCTTACCCAGCAAGATGAAGGTGCAAATAACCTTTGTTGTTACAGTCCTGAAAGTACTGCACTAGCCTCGTCAGCTCTCTAAGACTCCCTCACCTTACAGTGTCTATCAGTCCTCTGCCCAATCTTTTTTTGTTTTGTTTTTACACACAGAGCTCAACCAGTGTGGTAGTAAATGACTGTAAGTCCACGTACTTGGGAGGTGGAAATCAAGAAGCTTGAGGCTGGAGGCCAGCCCAGGCAAAAAGTTAGTGAGACTCCATCTCAACCAACAAGTTGAGCATGGTGGCAAGCTCCTGCAATCTCAGCTACTGAGGAGGCATAAGTAACAGGATCAGGTTCTAGTCTGGTCCTGGCCAAAAAAAACCCTAAAAAAGCCAATCCCATCTCCCCCCGAAAAAAACCCCGAAACCAAATAAACAAAACCCATAACTTGTAAATGGTAAGACCAGGGTTTGATTCTTGCTATACTGATTCTAGAAGGTACAGTTCCAGTCACACATCTACACTGCCTCCCTGTGACATTTGAAGTCATGTGATACAGTCACAGGTTCCTTCCCTACCAATGGCCAGCCACATAATGATAATGCCAGAGAAGCGTGAACTTGAAAAAGTCCCTGACCTAGGCCATGTTTTGAGTTTGCTGAAACCAGGAGGGTGGAGCTCTTGAGCTCTCCAAACCACCAGGCCACCAGGGGTCATTGCACAGGAAGAGCTGGGTCGCCTGGGCTCTGTGTTGCTTCCCTTTGATGTCCATCTGCCTGAGCCACAGCCACTCTGGGCCCTTTCCAAGGAGCTGTCTCTCACCACCATGTCCTGGTCCAGGGGTGACTCACTCCCCACTTTACATTGAAGGCTAGTTGCTTCTTTCTGGTATCCACTCCTCACAGCCACCTTTCTGCATGCCTGGCCTGACGCCTGCCCTGTCTTGCAATCCCACCCAGGGTGCCCAGCATCCTGAAGCTGTAGCAGGCCACGCCTTGGCAGTTGGGAGCAGGAGGGCAGGCAGGTGCACGCTGCTGATGGGTGTGGATGCACCTTCACTGGGCAATACCTCCCAGATGGAAAAGGAGACTCAACAAAAAACTATGAAAGAACGTGCATCTTCAGGCTCCCTCTTCCATGGCCTGTGCTATGTCTGCTGCCAAGGGTGGCCAGGAGCCAGGTCTCCTGAGACAGACCCTTAGGACACAAAGGCTCTAGGAGGAGCAAGGAGATCGCTAAGGTGGATGGCTTGGGCAATGCACACCTCTGCCTCAGTTCATGAAGGTTCTTACTGGCCAGCCAGGGGTCATTTCCCCTTCAGGTCTGCTATGGGTTGTTCGCATAAGTTGATGGGAGGCTTAAAACACCAAAATGAAGAACTGTTTACTTGCTCTTTTAGCAGATCAAAATCAAGGACATGCTCACGAGGCTAGGGACACAAGCTAGCTGCTGGCAGAACCATTCTGCTTTCCTCCCTCTGGCCCAAAGCGAAACTGCAGGCTGCTCTTCCACCAGTTTATTAACCACAGTGCCCCCCCCCTCCGCCCACCAATCTATGGTTTCACTTCCCAAAGTTTCTGTTGTCTGCAGTCAACTGTGGTCTAAAAATAGTAAATGGAAAATTCCTGAAATAAATAGTTCATAAGTTTCAAATTGTATGCTGTTCTGAGTAACAAGATGAACTCTCACACCCTCCCACTCCTCCTACCTGGGACATGAATCCTTTTGTTCAGTGTATCTACGCGGTATATGCTACACACCCATTAGTCAGTCACTTACCCATCTCACTTATCAGGTTGACTGTCCCTGTTGCAATATCAAAGCATTTGTGTTAAAGTAACCCTTTACTTGATAATGTCCCTATAGTGCAAAAGTAGCAATGCTGGTGGTTCAGATATGCCAGAAAGAAGACATAAAGCGCTTCCTTTAAGCAAGAAGGTAAGCTTAATAAGAAAAAGGCTGCACACAGGATCACCTGAAGTCAGAAGGTTGATAGCAGCCTAATGTCACGTCACCTTTCCCTCATCTCGCATCATCACAGGAAAAGTACAGTAAGATATATTGAGAGAGAAAGAGAGAGAGGCAATTTGCATCATTTTATTATGTCCTATGGTATTGCTAGGTATTGCTTTAATTTCTTACTGTGCCTAAGTTATGTTAAACATTACATTAAGTAAACACGTATAGGAAAAACATAATATATAAAGGGTTCACCGTTCTCCTGTTTCTCATGTCTACTAGGGGAGTTGGAACATATCACCCAAGGAGAAGGGAAAATTACTGTATTTTGTTTTCATTTTTATTAGCATATATTCATTGTATGGGGGAATTCATTGTGACAATTCCGAATAGCCTTACATCATACATTGGTTAGATCATCCCCACCATCACCCCAACAAACCCCTCCCTGCCCCACTTAAAGCAGTTGCAAGAGGCTTCATGGCTCTATTTTGTATACATAAATGAAACCCTTCAACCTTATTCACTCACCTTCATCCCCTCCATTCACCCCCCCCATAAATACTACCCCCCCACACACAGTATATCTAATTTACAGTCTTGTCTTTCATTATTAATTCCAGAATGGATTTTTTAAATTAATTTATTTATTTTTGGCATCCCTGGGGTTTGAACTCAGGGCCTCATGCTTGCTAGGCAGGCACTCTTGCGGCTTGAGCCACTTGGCCATCCTTCATTATTAATTCCTACGTCAGTGTTCAAAGGAGTTTCTTGATCTATCCCCACTATGAATATACTTTACTTTGGGCAGTTCAACCCCTTTTGTTACTCTCCCTTACAGAATTACTGTATTGCTGAATAACAAAACTGCAGGAGACCAGAATATGTGCCCAATCCCCAAGATTGCTAAAGCCCACAAGAAGCAGGAGATGAAGGAAAGCTCCCTGCTCTCCTTCTGTTTGCCTAAAAGTGGATAACAAAGGTTATCCACTAACTTTATACCCTCCCAGGCCTGGAGGTGGCACCAGAGGACCCTATATTAATAAGCGTTGTTCTCTACACTATTTATTGCCTTCCCACAAGTTCACGCCTACAGAATCCAAGTCCTTTCCCTTTGTCTCCCCGTCTCTAAAACTTGATTCTTGATGGAAGAGTCTATATATAAAGACTGGAATGCAAAACCGCACTCTGGGACTTGCTCATTATCTGGGGATCTCCCATGCATACATGAAATGTGAGGTCAAGGACCCTCTGTTTACTTTCATCTTGTTCATCTGCCTTTTGGTCAGCGTCCTTTCCAGCCATAAGAAGCAGAAGATGATGAACTGAAGCATGCCGCGCCCCGACAGGCTGCACACGCTGAACTGAAGAAGCGACCTCCGGGTCTCACTTCCCTAAGCATAGGGAAGGGCTTTCTCTGCAGTTCCCTCATCTTACTATGGGAAATTCTTTCAGCAGGAATGTAATCGCTTAACCCTCTTCCCTGGAATCTCATCAGACAGGAAGTGCATAGCCCACACAAACTTTGTCCTAGGCTAGTCATCTCCTCTAAAAAATGATTTGCTCTTCCTCTAAGATTACACACATCTCCCACTTCCCTCCCTCTGTGAAGAGGTTATGTAAGCTTCTAAACCTCACTGGGTTATTGGATACTCATTTATTGTAATATCCCCATGCATGTAATAAACTTATGTGCCAGGATAGTGGTACACACCTATAATCCCAGCACTCAGGAATCTGCGCCAGGACTGTGAGTTTAAGAACTATCTAGTGAGTTCTAGGTCAGCCTGGACTACATAGTAAGATCCTGTCTCAAACAAACCAAACCAAAACTTGTGCACCT